AGTGCATCTTCAGATACTGTCCCCCCACACTCTACCAGCTCTCCAGTTCATCTTCAGATACTGTCCCCCCCAGCTCCAGCTCTGAGGTCCCCACAGGGCAGACACCATTACTGTAAACCTTCTTACCCCAGGGATGGGCTAGAAAAATGCTGAGCCCAGCTGGGCTGCTCCGGCTCTGCCACACCTGGTCCCACAGCATCCCCCTCACCCTCCCCTCATCTCAGTCTCATAGCAACCCGCCCCACCCACTCTCCCCTCATCTGAGGTTACCAGAGGTGAGAAAAACAGAAAACACTGAAGTAAAACCAGAGGCATTAAAGGCAGGAGGAACCGTGTGATAGCTCACACCTGTAATCTTAGCGCACGAAGGCAGGAGGACTGCTTTGAGTCTGAGGCCAGCTTTGAGTGAGTCCTTGGTCAGCCTGGACCAGAGTCAGACCTTGTCTAGACAGAGCAAAGCTGAAGATTCAGAAGAACCCCAGAGCCAGAGTTAGGCTTTGAACGCCTGGAGTTGTGCTTCTGAAACGAAGATCTCCACAGTGAGACTGAGACAGGAAGAATGTGAGGTCAGCCTGGCCTTCGTGGTGAGTGCTGGGTCAGCCCGAGCTCAAAAACAACAATAACACCCTGGAAAGACCACCATAAGTTTTCTTCTATTGGTCCCCAGCTTCGTGGAGATTTCTTATAACTGTGAGAGAAACTGTTGGTGGCCCTCGGATGAGATCAAATGGTAGTTACTGAATGTATTCAGTGTGTATGTGTAGACTGTGCATATGTACTATGAGGATGTGTGTGGCATGCATATGTATTGTGTGATCATGTGGTACACGCATGAGTACTGTGTGAGGGTTTATGTGTTGGTGTGAGTGTGTGACTGAGTATGTGTGTGACTGTGTGTCAACATGTGAGTGTGTGGGTGATGCATATGTACTGTGTGATTGTGTCTGTGTGAGAGCATGTGCATGTGTGTACACATGAATGTGTGTATGTGGCACACAGATGTATTTGTGTGTGACTGTGTCTGAGTATGGTGCATGCATTTGTACTCTAGGGAGAGTACGTGTGTGTGTGAGAGAGAGAGAGACAGAGAGAGAGAGAGAGAGAGTTGCACATGAGTACTGTGTGTGTGAGATGGGGGAGAGTGAGATGCATGTAAGTATGTGTGTGTGTATGTGTGTGCTGTGCATGTGTACTACATGTGTGCTGAAAACATCTCTGAAGCCCATTAAGAAATGGGAAATTCATCCTAGAGCTTTGATTGACTACTGACTCAGGGAAGAGGAGTCCTGCAGTTATATCCACTAGGTGACCCAGTGCCACGTGGTGACCCCTAGACTGATGCCTTAGATGACCCAGTGCCATGTGGTGACCCCTAGACTTCAGTACCTTAGGTGATCCAGTGCCACGTGGTTACCCCTAGACTGACGCCTACCAGAGCTTGAAAGTTAATCTGGAAGGAATTAAGGAACAGGAGGGAGCACAGGGAATCTCTAAATGACTTTGCCACCATGGCTTTAGCAGGTTTACAGACTACTGAGGAGAGTGTGGGCGTGACTGTCCACTCATTTTAGCATCTGTAATCCCCATTTTTGTCTCTGTCCAGCTCTCGTAGAGCTTGTGCGTTTGTCTCGAGTAGGGTTGTCCATGGGTGAACGTTGCCCATTCACTGCCTTTGCTGCAAAAGTAACTAGCAGTGAGGTGGTGCACGCCTTTAATCCTAACATTCAGGAGGCAGAAGTTCAAGACCAGCCTGGTCTAAAGAAGGAGTTCCAGAGAAACCCTGTCTGGAAAAAACAAAAATTAATAATAATAATATTGAGAATAGCAGCTGTTTGTTTGATGTACTGGTGGTAAGCCATAACGTGAAAGTGTGACATCCTTAATTCTTTCCTTCCCAGGTCTTCTTGACAATGTAACGGTTCTTATTGGGATTGCTTACGAAGGAAAGGCCATTGCAGGCATCATCAACCAGCCCTATTACAACTACCAGGTACTGCTACCAATGACACAGAAGGATTAGATACATGATTAGAGTGTCGGATGAGTCCAGACGCCATCCAGACCAGCTGTGGTCTCACTCATTCGCTCCTTTGCACAAGGAGCCACTTGGGGGCGGGATTTCTCGACATACTTCCCAGGCTGCTGTTCACCTGTTGAACTAGAACTTTCTGAGGGTATTGGGGCCAGGAATGTAATGTGGGTAAATAGACTGAGTGTGCTGTACTCTTTATATATTTGTGATTCAATTGCAATGGTTTGGAAATTACCCATTTGGTTCTTGATTAGTGTGGTCACCAAGACACCTGGCTTACAGGTGGTTCTTGAAGCACAGTGAAGAAATGAAACTTGTCAACAGAGAACAGATGCTATCCTTGTAGCTTCCCAGGTGATACTGCACAGCACCTGACTCCCTGCCAGCCCAGGTAGCCAGCCTCGGATGCTTGTGCCCCTTCCTCTCACACGCCTCTTTTCCAACCTGCTCTTGACTTCCTGCTGTATACTTCGGAGATGCTATCTCCTTTAGAAACAAGGGACCAGTATAATTCCAGGACAAGATGTATTGCTAGATTTTAAAGATTATTGAAATACAATATTTAAAATTTCATATTAAAGTGGATTTGATGAACTTTGGAAAACAGACTAAGCAGAGTGGAGGCTATCTCTTCTGAACGTCTGATGTGAGAACAGACTTCTTATTTAGGTGTAATGTAAGTTTGTTTATTCCTGCTGCTTATAGACTTAGAAATTTGATTTATTTCTTGGGTTTTCCAGGGTGGCTCTTCACTATTGGTTGAATCAGAATGAAGTTCTTGGGTGTTAATCTTGACAGTGTGGCTTTGCTCTCTGGACTGTAGTACACTTGGGCACGGGTTTGTGACTTAACTCTATTCCTAAAAGGAAGGGTATTTAATTCATAGAAAAAGGGTATGCATGGCCCCTTTTATCAAAAATAGACCTGTAAGCTTAGGAATTGTTGATGATTTTCATCCCTTATTTCTGAGACTAGAAAACTTGTATTCGTTTTCCACAGAGCAATGAAAAGGAGAAGTTGAGGGAGCAGAGGAATGAAGCGAAGGTGAGAATCAGCTAGGGTCTTGGTTCCAGTGCTAGGGAGGAAAGAGGCAGGCACTGTGGCACCCGTCCGTCCTGTGAGCGGGTCTGTTTCCTCCTGTTCTGCGCCTCTTCTTTCATCTCCCTGTGCTGTATCCTCTACGCCCTCTTTGCCTGATAGCCTGGAAATGTGTTGCAACAAATCGAAGCTGAAAGGCTGCTGCCGGTGTTTGAGACTGAAGATGCGTAGTCTTCATCAGAGCTGAAGTTATGGGCACCTGCTGTGCCCTGTGCTGGTTTACGGGCTCCCGCTGTGCCGCCATGCTCAGGATTCACCAGTATTATCTCTTGTATTACTCACCACATAAGGAAATCACTATGTCCATACTAAAGAAAGGGATACGAGGTAGCCTGTGATGCAGGCATGTTATCCCAGATTCTCAAGCTGGGGCGAGAGTGTTGCAAGTTCTGAGGAGACCTAAGTAACAGAATGAACTCAGGATCAGCCAACAAAGTGTGACTGTCATAAAATAAAAAGTAAGGGGGCTGGGATGTAGGTCAGTCAGTGGTAGAGTTACTGCCTGGCAAGAGCAAGGCCCTGGGTTCAGTCCACGCACACGCAGACACACACACACACACACACACAAACACACACACACACACACACACACGGAAAAGGAGAAAACTGAAGCACTGTACGTGTCAGTGTCACCCATGGGGTAAACAGCAGAGCTGGGATTCAAAGTGAGTTCCAAGCCCTATTTTTATTCTCTTTTGCTGTCTTAGCAAGGTAAAAAAACTGAACAACTGAAAGTTTATTTTTGATTCTAGTAAGTACTGACTGGTGAAAACGCCATGAAACTCCATCTGTCTTTATGTTGGAGCTATCTTCTTAACCAGAATTAACAGTGACCCCACATCTGGAAGGATAAGCGCTAACCTTCCTGTGGAGTCCTTGCAAGAAAGAATAGGACACCTGAGATCAGGGGCCCGGGGAGAGCAGGACAGCAGGTCCTCAGGCCTGTCCTCTTGTCTTCACAGTCATTCAGAAAGGGAGTATGAACTCTCTTTATTTTTTTGTTTGTTTGCTTATTGAGACAGGGTTTCTCTACATACCCCTGGCTGTCCTGGAACTTACTCTGCACCAAGTCATTCTCAAATTCATAGATCTGCCTACTTCAAGTGCTGAGTTTAAAGGTGTGCACCACCACCACCCGGCTGATTCTTTCTTTTTCAAATAGGCTCTCATTGTGTTTCCTATACTGGCCTTGAACTCACTAGTAACCCAGGTTTGTCTTGAACAAACAATTCTCCTGCTTCCTCTTTCTAAATGTTGAATTACAGGCAAAAGCCTCTGAGCGCCTAGAGCTGCCATGAGAGTTCTGCGATGTAATCAGGAGGGAAGAGAGGAAGCACGCTGACATTCCAAGCAGCTAGTACTTGGTTTGGGTTCCTCTGTTGCTCCATGACAGGAGGCAAAACCAGTCAACAGTCAGCCTCCTCAGGGAATGCCTCCCCTGTGAAGAGCCGTCACAATCCTTCCCAAAGCAGTCTGTCTCCCAGGACCAGAAAGAGCAGGTGTGCAAAGGCCTGGCGTTTCCGTTGGGTCTGGAGCCGCTTGAAGAGCAGCTTGAGCTCCGGTGCTCCCCATAGTCGTAGGCAGAGCGACACCTAGCCGCACTGCAGCTCCTTGCCCCTGTCCACAGTGTTTCCTTCTACAAGTGCTGATCCCGCACAGGCTTCTTGACGACCACCCCCCTATCCCAGACTCTGCTTCCAAGGTCACACAGCCTACAGCATAAGCCGATTTCATCCTGGAAGCACCAGTACACTTCTCTAGGACAAAGAAGCCATGACTTGGAAAACATTGGACAAGTCAGCTCAGGTTACCCAGCATCCACTTTGATGGACACAGTGGCACTAACCTGTAGTCCCGCCTGCTTTCAAGGTTAAGGCAGCAGCAGCATTTCACGGTCATTCACAGCAATGCAGTGAGACCCCCAAGTCAAAGACAATAATGCAAAGCAAAATCAGAACAAGTTTCCCAGGCTTGGCAGTTAGAGCGCTTGCTGCTCTTGCAGAGAACCCAGGTTGGGTTATCAACACCCACATGGCACTCATGGCATCTGAAACTCTAGTTTGAGGCGCACATAATACACATACATACATGTAAATAAGTCTTTTCACGAGGCAGTGGTGGCACATGCTTTTAATCCCAGCACTCAGGAGGCAGAGGCTGGTGGATCTGTGTGAGTTCCAAGACAGCCTGACTTAATGAGTTCCGGGCAGCTGAGGCTATACAGAGAAACCTTGTCTCAAATGAATGAATGAATGAATGAACATCTTTTCAAGGCCAAACTGGTCTAAACAATTCCAGGTCAGCCATGGCTACATAGTGAGACCATGTCTCCAAAAATAAAATGAAACACGAGGAGCTCTGAATGCAGGTGAGCTGGCTTTTGAGAGGAACTTCCTGGACTCCTTGGTCAGTTTATCAACTGATTCTACACCTCATTGTTAAGGATAATAACATGGCATTGCCCTAAGTATTGGGCAGGCTGATGCACACGCACAGACCTTGGTGTGGTCCTGACACACCCTTGTTGAATGAATTGCATGCCTCTTCTCACTGTACACCTTCCTGGCTGATAGGAAACTGTTGAGTTTGGACTTCTTGTGTTAGCATCAATTTTCCTTTTTCTAAGCTATGTTTATCTACATGAGCTGTGTATTTAGCAATGTGGTTGAAACATCTCTGAACTCCACAAAGGAAGATACAGATCCTGAGATTGTGCTGTCCTTTTGTTCTACTGAGGCATTTATCATTAAATCTCAGCCCAGTCTCCACTGTCCACAGTCTTCTGCAGTGGCAGCTTGTTTGGTTGCTCTGTCTCGATGGCAGCAAAATGCATCCTCACTGTTGTCCCTATTGTCCCTTGAATAATGAAACTATATATGATCATTACATTAGCACTCTAATAATGGTTAGTACACAGTTACACTTCCTGGAACTTCAATATCATTGAAAAATGGGTATTTTCAGTTAAACAGATTGGTGGGTGATTCCAAAAGAGTAGGAAGGTCACCTTCCCCAGGACAAAAGTATCCCCCTTCTTTGAAACTGTTGATCAAAGCAGCAATGAGGATAATCAAATTGTTATCAGGATAAATTCTTTGCCTATTTACTGTTCTTATATTTTATAGCATTGTGTGTTTTTACGTTTGTAACTCAAAAATGAATCCATTATAACAAACTTGGTAACTTCAGCTAAGTGAGGCTGACTGTTTCCTTTGTGGCTGACATCTTTCTGCTGTGACAGTGAGCTTTGCTGTCATCCACACAGGCAGGCCCTGACGCTGTGCTGGGCAGGACCATCTGGGGAGTCCTGGGTTTAGGTGCTTTTGGGTTTCAGCTGAAAGAAGTGCCCGCCGGGAAGCATATCATCACGACCACCAGGTCCCATAACAGCAAGCTGGTCACAGACTGCATTGCGGCCATGAACCCTGACAACGTGCTGCGTGTGGGGGGAGCAGGAAACAAGGTACAGCGGACACGTCCCATTGGCTCTGAAGTATACTGTCCCTGAGCAAAACGCCTCCTCCAAAATGGTCTCTCTATTCAGTCCTGTCTTCACAGACACCAGTAAGGCAGTTAAACACAAAACGCAGCCCGGTGTGGTACTGCATACGGAGTTCCAGACTGGGGAGCTGGAGGACAGGAGGATCAGGAGTTTGGGTTATCCTTGTCTAGAAATCAAGTTTGAGGCCAGCCTGGGCTACAGGAGCCTCTGTCTCAAATAAAGCAAATAATACCAATCAATAATAGTGGTTTATAGTTGAGTAGTGTGAGGAGCAAGGATAAGGAGTAGGGAAGGATTCTGAAGTCTCTGAAAGAACTGTTAGGCTAGCCAGCGCGGCACACCTGCTGGACTAGTCTGTTGCGGTGCTACTGAACATTCTCTATTACTCAGCAATGGCCAGTTTCTTAGAAATTAAAAACAGTGCTTGTCTAGTAGTGACTATGTATTTCCTTTATAGAAAGAAAGAAAAACCATGTGAATGAAAAAACTTAATATACCTCAGACTGTGGACTGTGGCTTATTTGATTCAATTTTTAATTACCATGTATTATTATTATTCACCTGGTTTATTTCTTTATGATGCTGGTATCTTTTAATCTGCTTAGGGCTTTAATATAAATGTGACGGAAACTGATGATGTGTCTTTACTGGGCATTAGCAGTTCTCGTGGGCAGCTCTGTCTTTTCATGGTGGGGTAATTATCCCTTTCACCTTACAGGTCATCCAGCTGATCGAAGGCAAAGCCTCTGCTTATGTATTCGCAAGTCCTGGCTGTAAGAAGTGGGATACCTGTGCCCCAGAAGTTATCCTACATGCTGTGGGAGGTGAGTCCAGTTGTCCTGGAGAATTTGGGTTTTTATATTGTCCTAGGCATTATATTTCAGTAATACTCTTTTTTTTTGTACTTTTATGTGTATGGGTGTTTTGTCTGCATGGATGTCTGTGTATCACATGCATGCCTGGTGCCCTTGGAGGTTAGAAGAGGGTGTTGCATCACCTAGAACCACAGACAGTTGTAAACCTCCCACCTACATCCCCTGGCAGGGCAGCCATGAATGCTTTTAACTGCTGAGCCAACTCTCTAGCCCTCAGCTAACATCCTTCCCCGAGGTGTCTGGAATGCAGGTGCTGGAGGGAAGCCTATAGGCCATCCGTCCAATCCCATCGTTTTCAAGTCAGCAGGGATATTTTCAACAGGCTGAATTGTCCTTAGTTTATAGTCTTTAGTGAGAATGCGATGTCATCTCCATACAGTTAATCAGACTCTAATTTTGTTGTTGTTGCGGTTTGTCTCAGTGCATCCCTGGCTCACCCTGGACTCATTATGTGACCCAGGCTTAGAAACTCAGAGAACTCCATGGTTTGCCAGAGGACATGAATTCAGTTCCCAGCACCTGCATCTGGTGGTTCATGATCACCTGTAACTCCAGCTTCGATATGCCCTCTCTGACTTTCGCTGCCACACACACACACACACACACACACACACACACACACAAAGAGAGAGAGAGAGAGAGAGAGAGAAAGAGAGAGAGAGAGAGAGAAATTTTTTTTTAAAGACAATACCCTGTTTTTAAAAATTAGAAAATAGATGATCGGGGTAAAGTTATAACTCTGTGTTAGAGCACCAGGCTGATATATGTGAGGCCCTCCGTGTTAGAGCACCGGGCTGGTGTGTATGAGGCCCTAGTTTTATGTCATCTAGACACAAGCTAAAGTCATCTGAAAGGAGGGAGCCTCAACTGAGAAAATGTCTCCATAAGATAGGACTGTAGACAAGCCTATAGGGCATTTTCTTAATTGGTGATTGGTGGGGAGGGGCCTGCCCATTGGGGGTGGTGCCATCCCCAGCTGTGGTTGTGGGTGCTGTAAGAAAACAGCCCAAGCAAACCATGGGGAGCAAGCCAGTAAGCAGCACCCTCCACGGCCTCTGCATCAGCTCCTGCTTCCAGAGGTTCTTGCCTGTTTTGAGTTCCCACCTCAGCTTCCCTCAGTGAACTGATTCAGGTAAAGTAAGCCAGACAAACCCTTTCCTCCCCATGTTGCTTTTGGTCATGGTGTTTCATCATAGCCATAGTAACCCTGACTAAGATAGACAGACAGACAGACAGGAAACATTTGGGAAGTATACTGTATAGTAAGAGAAATTAATACCAAAAAATTCAGTTACATGACTAAAGAGATGGTTCAGTGGTGAAGCCATTGCTGTTCTTGCAGAGGACTCAGGTTCAGATCCCAGCATCTACACAGTGGCTCACAACTGTCTGAAACTCCAATTCCAGTGGATATGGTGCCCTTATCTGACCTTCAAGGACACTAGGTACTCATGTGGTACACAATACACATGCAGGCAAAACACTATACACATAAAATAAATATTTTTTCCTAACCCTAACTTTAATAAATAAATATTTTAAAGAAATAAATAAGAGGAAAGAAAGAGCATAGGTCTGTAGTTTAGTGCTGGAGCTGACATTTGGCTACAGGAGGCACTTGGTTCAGTCTCTAGTTCCAAAGACGGGAGGGAGGCAAGAAAGTATTGGGGTAGAACAGCCAGGATCACAAGTTCAGGGCTAGCCTAGGCTACCAATAAGTTTCAAGCCAGCCAGGGCTTTATGACGAGATCTTGTTTTAAAAAGGGAGGGGAGTCTGGTTGGGATGTAGTATATATGAGAGAAAAATTAAGAGGAAAAAAAAGGACAAGCCTTGACAACTTAGACTTTTTCTCAAAAATAAAACCAAAAATACCTGGAGATGTAGCTCAGTGGTAGAGTGCTTGCCTGGTGTGCACGAAACCGTAGGTTTAATTCCCAGGACAAATATTGTACCAAGTCATTAAAGAATAACTAGAGTGGGTTAGGACATAGTTCAGTAGTGAAACGAGCTTAGTGTGAGCCCTATGGTCAGCCCTCCCCGATCCTGTCCTCCAGAGAGGAAGCCCGGAGCATCCTGACCGCACTACCCACTAACTCTGCGTGCCGTTCTTCCGCAGGGAAGCTGACGGACATCCACGGGAACGCCCTCCAGTACGACAAGGAGGTGAAACACATGAACTCCGCAGGAGTCCTGGCCACGCTGAGGAATTACGAGTACTATGCAAGCCGGGTGCCAGAGTCTGTCAAAAACGCACTCACTCCCTAAAGGGTTGTTTCACGCGCCCGCCCACCCCGAGGACTTGGTTCTCACAGCCTCTTAGAACTGATTGAACAATCAAGAGTTCAGCTGCACTCATCAGTGACCAGTGATTTAGTGATCAATAGTTAGGGATAGAAGACGGGATTAAAGAATGTCACCTATGTAGTCAAATACTCTCATGCCTTAGGCATATAATACATTTTATTTTTCATTTCTCCTCTCGAAAAACAATTAGCCAGGTATGGTGGCACATGTGGTAGTTATTGCTATTCCAGCGGTTGAGCCCAGGGCCTCAAGACCAGCCTCCACTACAGAGCAAAACACTGCCTAAAAACGGAGAAGAAAAACAAAAGGAATTTAGTTTTATTAACTAGCTAACCACACCAATTGTTTTGACATCTAGATAATTTTTAATTTCAGTATCTTAAGTGGTCTTGGTATTTTTGTTTGTTTTGGTTTTTTGTTTTTGTTATTGTGTCCTTTTTTTGTTATTGTTTGCTTGGTTTTGTTTTTCTTTTTGGTTTTTGAGACAGGATTTCTCTGTGTCCTGGCTGTCCTGAAAATCACTCTTGTAGACCAGGCTGGCCTCGAACTCAGAGACCACCCCAGCTCTACTTCCCGAGTGTTGAAATTAAAGGCATGCGCCACCACTCCTGGCTCAAGTGTTACTGTTTTTAAGTGGGGAAATGAAAAAGGATTAGTTCCAAATGACTTTCTAGGTCATTTGTACAATCAACATTCCTGCTGATAAACTGGATTTCTCCAGGGCATAGAATTTTTTTTTTCTTCCTGAAACAGGGTTCTCTGTGTAGTCCTGGCTGTCCTGGAACTCTCTGTGTAGACCAGGCTGCCTCCATGGAGATCTGCCTGCCTCTGATTCTGAGAGCTGGGATCAAAGGTGTGTGCACTACCACCCCCTAGCCAGGGCCTAGAATCGTAAATTGTGCCAGAATTTCAGTTTTGTTTTTCACAGTAATTTTTAAAATTTCTGACTCCAACTGAGAATGCATATAATGATGTTATTTACGTTGATAAGATTTATGGGGAAAGTTTCTTTAAAATAAATTATTTACTCCTAGATCTTCATATGGCATATAGTTTTCTTTTCAAAAATATTTGAAACTTATAAATACTATGGGGATTAGCTTATTCTCTTGTTATCATGAAAAGGCATAATTGGAAGGTTGGACAATACCCTTATTCCTTCTACTGGGAGACTGTAACCTGCATTAGCTTGACTGGCACCTTGGCTAGGCTGAGAAGCCCTTCTAGGTCAGGAAATGGGGTTTCCAGAGAGGATGAACTAGACTGGAAGAGCGCGGGTGGCACCATCTCCTACAGGTTCTACTTCCGCTGCCTGGCTGCCCTGAGGTGAGCTGCTCTGTCTGCCCTGCCTTCCTGGCAGCCCCAACCCCAATCCCCTTGGAATCTTTCCTTCAGGCACTTGTTAGAGCAAAACAGAAGTCATCTTTAAATGTAAAGTTTGTGTTCGTGTTTGGAAGTTCCATTCAGGCAAAGGCTGTGTTTTGATCATGATCCCCACTGCCTCCCACAAACAAACACTTTTCCCATGGCTCCTCCCAGATCCACCCCACCTCTCACCACTTCCTAACCTCTTGCCCCCCACCCCTTTTTAATAATCTACCAAGTCCAGCTTGTGCAACCCATGTACTCGGTGGCATGCGGCCATCCACTGGAGGCGTGGTCAGCCTGCTAGAGGCTACACCTTTGAAGAAAACTAGCTCTTACTCCCCCAGAAGCTATTGGCTGTCAGTAGCTCTTCAGATAGTGGTGGGTGCCCATGAGCCGCCACCCCACCATGCTGGAATGTAACTGGTTTGATCTTGTGCTGTTCTTAAAGAGGCCACCACAGTGCTGGGAGCTCCTGAGTACAGTGGTTCTCTGGTCCTGATTCCTCTGGCCTCCAGCTCTTACAGTCTTTAACAGAAAAGTCTGAACACAGTCCTATTCTGACATCATACATAGATTTTCACTTTTCTTTTCAAGTTCTGAAGATTGAACCCAGGGCCTTGTACATAGCAGGCCAATGCTCTACCAGCTAAGCTGTATCCCCACTGAAAAGTTTCTACACCCCACTAAGCCTCTCTACCAATGCAGCAATCCAAATCAAACCAAATTAGAGAAAGCCCAGGTTTGATGGATATAATGCTCCCAGACGATTTTCTAGAGTCCCCTCCCCCGCAAAGCACACAGAAAAGAGATGGGGGAAATCACTTGTCTCTGGGAGGGCAGTTTAAAAACCCTGTGGGAGTGGTCTTGAGCACCTCTGGAGGAGGAGTTGTCATTTGGTGGGCTTTCTGAGATGCAGCAGGGTTTGGAGAGAGAAATCAGGGAAAGGGATTGGGGTGAAGCTTCCACCAGAACACTCCAGACAGGGTATATGGGTGCCAGGGACTGGGGCGGAGCTTCCACCAGAAGACTCCAGACTGGGTATATGGGTGCCAGGGACTGGGGCGGAATTGCTACCAGATCACCCACTCCTGCCTTTTTACTGTTTGAGTCTCTGCCCATTCCTTTAATTAAATTTCTTGTTTTGGATGAAGCAAGTAGAACACACGCTTTGTTTGGGAGTCACTGTTGCACTCTGTTTTCTTGCTGGAGTGGAATTCTCTGAACAGTGAAATAAATTGACCTTTACTTAAATCCGGGGGTCACAGAGATGGCTCAGTGATGAAGTATACTTGTTGCTCTTACAAACTGCTGGAGTTCAGTTTCCAGCATACATCAAGTGATTCTCAACCACCCATGACTCCAGTTCTGGAGATCAGACACCTAGGACTCCAGCTCCAGGAGATGAGACACCTAGGACTCCAGCTCTGGAAGATCAGACGCCCAGGACTCCAGCTCCGGAGATCAGACACCTAGGACTCCAGCTCCAGAGATCAGACACCCAGGACACCAGCTCTGGAGATCAGATGCCCAGGACTCCAGCTCCGGAGATCAGACACCTAAAACTCCATCTCTGAAGATCAGATGCCCAGGATTCCAGCTCCGGAGATTGGACACCCTTTTACACCCTCCTCTGCTACTGTGTGTGAGGAGTGTACATACACATGCACAGAAATAAAAATAAATTTAGAAGTTTTAAATTTTAAATTGTGTATGTGTGTTTGTACGTATGCGTACAATACCCTTGGAGACCTGAAGAGTGTGTTGGAGCCCCTGGTGCTGGAGTTTCAGGCAGTTGTGAGCTGCCTGAAGTAACCTCTAAGAGCAATGCTCTTTCTTAAATTTTAAAAATTTTATGTGTAGTGGTAGTGTAGGTGCTTTCATTGGTCAAATAAAGAAACTGCCTTGACTTTTTGATAGGGCAGAATTTAGATAGGTGGAGTAGACTGAACAGAATGCTGGGAGACAGAAAGCAGAGTCAGGCAGACACCATGGTTTTCCTCTCCGAGACGGACACTGGTTAGACTCATGCCGGTAAGCCACAGTCACGTGGCAATACACATTAATGGAGATGGGTTAAACTAATATGTGAGAGTTAGCCAATAAGAGGCTAGATATAATGGGGCAGGCAGTGTTTAAATGAATACAGTTTCCATGTAATTATTTCAGGTAAAGCTAGCCGGGCAGCCGGGCAGCTGGGAGCCGGGCGGGATGAAAAGTGATCCGCCTCTCCTTTTACAACAGTGGTGGTGTTTTGCTTGTGTGTACATCTGTGCACATGCATGTGCACCTCGTGCTTGCGGAGGCCAGAAGAGGGTGTTAGATTCCCCCATATGCTGACTAGTTTTATGTCGATTTTATAGAAGCTAAAATCATTTTTGGAAGAGGGACCCTCAATTGAGAAAATGCCACCACCAGACTGGCCTGTGGGCAAGCCTGTGGTGCATTTTCTTGATTGATGATTGATGTGGGAGGGCGCAGCTCACTGTAGGCAGTGCTGCCCCTGAGCTTGTGGTCCTGGGTGCGATAAGGAAAGAGATTGAGCACACCATGCAGTGAGCCACTAAGCAACTCCCCTCCATGGCCTCTGCATCAGCTCCTGCCTCCAGGTTTCTGTTTGAGTTTCTGTCCTGACTTTCCCTCTGTGATGGTCTGTTACCTGAAAGGGTAAAAGACACTAAACCTCCCCATACTACCAACCGAGTTGTTTTTGGTTATGGTGTTTTATCATAGTGATAAAAGTCATCACTAAGACACCCTGGAACTAGAGTTACAGATGGTTGTGAGCGGCCATGTACGTAGTTTCTGGGAATCAAACTGGAATCCTCAGTGAGAGCAGCCACTGTTCTTAACTGCTGAGCCATTTCTCCAGCCCCACCCTCTAAGTAAAACTTCAAACTACAATCTGTGGCTGTAGTTGAGTGGTAGTTTCCCTAGCTTGCATCAGACCCTGGGGTCCGGGGAAGGGGGACACCTCACTGCTGGGAGAGTCTCTGCAGTGAAAACATGACTCAACCAAAAGAGATACTAGGTGGGGAGTGAAGGGGTCCTCCATCTTCCTTCCTGCATTTACTTAGACACTTGTACCCCATTCTTGTTTAAGTCGCTGCTGCAGCAGCAGCCTGACTGCTCTCTGCCTGGCTGCAAGTCGACTGTGACCACCCATCACAACACCTCAGGTACTTTTTAAAAAACTCAAGTCTGGGGTCTAGAGAGATGGCTCAGTGGTGAAGAGCACCGGCTGCTCTTCCAGAGGTCCAGGGTTTGTTTGTTTTAGTTTTGTTTTTTTCAAGATGGCTTCTCTGAGTAGCCCTAGCTGTCCTGGCGCTCGCTCTGTAGAGCAGGCTGGCCTTGAAGTCACAGATCCACCTGCCACTGCCTCCCAAGTGCCGGGATTAAAGGTGTGCTTCCGAGGTTTCATTTCCAGCTCCACTTGGCAGTTCATATGTGTACTCCTGTAACTCCAGTTCCCGGGGGTCTGACACCTTTGTACCAATGCACATAAAATAAGTAAATTTAAAAAAATGTAAAAAAAAAAAAAAGCCAAGTCTCCCGTATTCAGAATAAACTTGAGGTTCCTTATCATGGTATGTGACACTCTTAATGTCCTGGCATCTACCTTGTCCAGCATCAGCTCTGATTATACATCATATCCATGCTCAACCATTTCATGTAGCCCCAGAAGACTATGTGTCCTCAAACAAATATTAATGCAGCCTTCACTGTAGGTTAATCACGTCATACAGATCCTGTCCATTCAACAGCGGCCATGGCAGTGGCCAGAAGTCTGTTTCTTTGTAAGTTATTTCTTACTGTGTTAAGTTCTGAAGAAGTATTGATTTGGAAGGTGCTAGAAAGCAAGTGAGGTGGGAAGGGTGGAAGGGAGTTTTCTCTAGAATCTAGATGAAAGTAGTATATCT